ACTTTCTAGCCAGGTAAGTCCACCTAGGCTATTTTTCCCCAAGACAAAGGAAAGCAAGGAATTGCCAGCCAGGATACCCCACCCAAGAAACTCCACCTAGGAAATTTCTCTGGAGAAAGAGGGAGGCCAGCAAATCCCTTAAATTCCAAAAAGGAATCAAAAAGGGAATTCCAAGAAGCAGCAGGAGCACTGCAAGGAACTTCCACCCAGGAAACTCCACCTAATTAACTTGCAGCCAGACAACGGGAAACTAAGGAATTTCCACTCACAAAAGTCCACCCAGGAAAGTCTTGCTGAGGAAGAAAGACTCCAGCAATTTCTAGCCAGGTAAGTCCACCTAGGCAATTTTTCCCCGAGACAAAGGAAAGCAAGGAATTGCCAGCCAGGATACCCCACCCAAGAAACCCCACCTAGGAAATTCTCTGCAGAAAGAGGCAAGCCAGCAAATCCCTTAAATTCCAAAAAGGGAATTCCAAGAAGGAGCAGGAGCACTGCAAGGAACTTCCACCCAGGAAACTCCACCTAATTAACTTGCAACCACACAACGGGAAACTAAGGAATTTCCACTCACAAAACTCCACCCAGGTACGTCTTGCTGAGGAAGAAAGATTCCAGCACTTTCTAGCCAGGTAAGTCCACCTAGGCAATTTTTCCCCAACACAAAGAAAAGGAAAGAATTGCCAGCCAGGATACCCCACCCAGAAACTCCACCTAGGAAATTTCACTGCAGAAAGAGGGAGGCCAGCAAATCCCTTAAATTCCAAAAAGGAATCAAAAAGGGAATTCCAAGAAGCAGCAGGAGCACTGCAAGGAACTTCCACCCAGGAAACTCCACCTAAGTAACTTGCAACCAGACAACGGGAAACTAAGGAATTTCCACTCACAAAACCCGACCCAGGAAAGTCTTGCTGAGGAAGAAAGATTCCAGCACTTTCTAGCCAGGTAAGTCCACCTAGGCAATTTTTCCCCAACACAAAGAAAAGGAAAGAATTGCCAGCCAGGATGCCCCACCCAGAAACTCCACCTATTTCTGTGCAGAAAGAGGGAGGCCAGCAAATCCCTTAAATTATCTTAAATTCCGAAAAGGGAATTCCAAGAAGGAGCAGGAGCACTGCAAGGAACTTCCACCCAGGAAACTCCACCTAATTAACTTGCAACCAGACAACGGGAAACTAAGGAATTTCCACTCACAAAACTCCACCCAGGAAGTCTTGCTGTGGAAGAAAAATTCCAGCACTTTCTAGCCAGGTAAGTCCACCTAGGCAATTTTTCCCCAAGACAAAGGAAAGCAAGGAATTGCCAGCCAGGATACCCCACCCAAGAAACACCACCTAGGAAATTTCCCTGCAGAAAGAGGCAAGCCAGCAAACCCCTTAAATTCCAAAAAGGGAATTCCAAGAAGGAGCAGGAGCACAGCAAGGAACTTTTACCCAGGAAACTCCACCTAATTAACTTGCAACCAGACAACGGGAAACTAACTAAGGAATTTCCACTCACAAAACTCCACCCAGGTAAGTCTTGCTGAGGAAGAAAGATTCCAGCAATTTCTAGCCAGGTAAGTCCACCTAGGCAATTTTTCCACCACACAAAGAAAAGGAAAGAATTGCCAGCCAGGATACCCCACCCAGAAACACCACCTAGGAAATTTCCCTGCAGAAAGAGGCAAGCCAGCAAACCCCTTAAATTCCAAAAAGGGAATTCCAAGAAGGAGCAGGAGCACTGCAAGGAACTTTTACCCAGGAAACTCCACCTAATTAACTTGCAACCAGACAACGGGAAACTAAGTAAGGAATTTCCACTCACAAAACTCCACCCAGGTAAGTCTTGCTGAGGAAGAAAGATTCCAGCAATTTCTAGCCAGGTAAGTCCACCCAGGCAATTTTTCCCAAGACAAAGGAAAGCAAGGAATTGCCAGCCAGGATACCCCACCCAAGAAACTCCACCTAGGAAATTTCTCTGCAGAAAGAGGGAAGCCAGCAAATCCCTTAAATTCCAAAAAAAGGAATTCCAAGAAGGAGCAGGAGCACTGCAAGGAACTTCAACCCAGGAAACTCCACCTAAGTAACTTGCAACCAGACAGCGGGGAACTAAGGAATTTCCACTCACAAAACTCCACCCAGGTAAGTCTTGCTGAGGAAGGAAGATTCCAGCAATTTCTAGCCAGGTAAGTCCACCTAGGCAATTTTTCCCCAACACAAAGAAAAGGAAAGAATTGCCAGCCAGGATACCCCACCCAGAAACTCCACCTAGGAAATTTCTCTGCAGAAAGAGGCAAGCCAGCAACTCCCTTAAATTCCAAAAAGGGAATTCCAAGAAGGAGCAGGAGCACTGCAAGGAACTTCCACCCAGGAAACTCCACCTAAGTAACTTGCAACCAGACAACGGGAAACTAAGGAATTTCCACTCACAAAACTCCACCCAGGTAAGTCTTGCTGAGGAAGAAAGATTCCAGAACTTTCTAGCCAGGTAAGTCCACCTAGGCAATTTTTCCCCAAGACAAAGGAAAGCAAGGAATTGCCAGCCAGGATACCCCACCCAAGAAACTCCACCTAGGAAATTTCTCTGCAGAAAGAGGGAAGCCAGCAAATCCCTTAAATTCCAAAAAAGGACTCCAAGAAGGAGCAGGAGCACTGCAAGGAACTTCAACCCAGGAAACTCCACCTAAGTAACTTGCAACCAGACAGCGGGGAACTAAGGAATTTCCACTCACAAAACTCCACCCAGGTAAGTCTTGCTGAGGAAGGAAGATTCCAGAACTTTCTAGCCAGGTAAGTCCACCTAGGCAATTTTTCCCCAAGACACAGGAAAGCAAGGAATTGCCAGCCAGGATACCCCACCCAAAAAATCCCACCGTTTTTTTTCCGCAGAAAGAGGGAAACAAGCAACTTCCACCACCACCCGTGAAATTCCACCTATGGAATTCATCTAGGAATTCCGCCCAAGAAGCAAGGAACTTCCACCCAGGAACTCCACCTAGGACATTTCTTGCAAGAAAGAGAGAAGCAAGCAATTTCTAGCCACGCGCTTCCACCCAGTTCGAATTTTTAATGAAAGGAATTTCCACCAAAGCCAAAATCGTATAGTACAGTACAACCTCAATACCATAAAAGACAGACTATTGACTAATGCGAAAGCATTTGCCAAGGATGTTTTCATTGATCAAGAACGAAAGCGAGGGGATCGAAACGGTGGACATTTGCCATTTGCACCAGGTACTGAACTGGTGGAGCGGTCGCCGGCAGCTCCTTTTTCCGTATATTTAAATAGTTAACTTCCGTATATTTAAGATGGTTGGCCGGGCCAGAGAAAACTTGCCCGGAGGTAGTATAAAATACCTATTGCGTTGTTTAAATATCCGTATATTTAAATGTAGGTACCGTATGATATGATATGATATGATATGATATGATATGATATGATAGATATGATAGACATGCTAGATATGATAGATATGATAGACATTGTAGATATGATAGATATGATAGATATGATAGATATGATAGATATGATAGATAGGATAGATATGATAGATAGGATAGCTACGATAGGTACGATAGGTACGATAGGTACGATAGGTACGATAGGTAGGTAGGTAGGTGGGTAGGTGGGTAGGTAGGTAGGTAGGTAGGTAGGTAGGTAGGTAGGTAGGTAGACACATAATGACATATATATGTGAATATATATATATATATATCCATACACCTGTTAAGAATATTTAAGAATAATGGTGATTTTCCATAACAAACTGTTGCCATAAAATATACCAGTTTTGTTTGTCAATCCCCAAGAGGTGGGAACAATATGGAACTTCATGCTGCTTGACATTACTCAACTGCAAAAAAAAACTAAATGTGAGCCAATGTGAGCTGAAATGTTTCAGCCTTTTGAGTGTAGGCCTGGAAACATGTTTTGTTCACCCCCTGCAATGGTAGTTGAAGCATGCTTGAGATCAAGATAAAATTCATGTTTTCGAGCAGAAACTTAATCATGCTGAAAGCAAAGGACCTGTCTTCCCCAACTTTCTCAACAAGTGGTTGGTTTGGCGGTCTTGAACACGTTCCGTGCTTTTACCAACATGCAACAATAACCCATCAAAATGGCAGTGTGGCAATGGTTTCCGTAGCAATGACAACTGAGATTGAAACTATCGCCGACCATAAAAAACCTGTCACTTTCGATCTTCCCTGGGGCTTGGGCAGATGAGTCCCAGTTGATTCATTTTTTTTGAAACCCTCAGCTGCCTGAACGGCTGGCTCAGCCACCAAGGAAACCTCCAGGCTGGTGGGTGAACGTTGATCGTGACGACTTGGGTAGTGAGAGGCTGACGATTGGAGACCCGGTGAGGGAAATGGGTGAGGATGGACAGAATGGAGGCCCAAATCCACCCAAGATCGCCCCAACAAAATGGGTGAAGGATGGTGAAGGTGGATCAAGAATCATGAAGCCAGCTTCATCATTCTATTCTTAACACTCTCCGGCCCCCTGGAAAAAACAAGAATCCGGAGGGGTAAAGGGTGCATGTTCAGATCATGTTCAGCAGGGATCTCCGAGGACTAACCCCTGAAGCCGAAGAAGCCTCCGGACGTGAGCTGTCCGCTTGGCTGGTGGAGCAGTTTGGCGACTGAGACCAAGCCAGGAAGGGGTTATGGGCCAGGGGGCACATCTCAAACACTCAATGCCCAAAAGGAGATTCTAAAAAGCACAGCAATAGACATCAATGGACGCAATAAGGACAAGATAATAAAAAACAACAACTCAGCAAACCAAGACTTTCTGCTGGCGCAGCCAGTAACACCATGTAACACCATCATATTATATTTTAAAAATATGTTTTTATTGAGTCTGGCTCTTCCAGCTGAGTTTCTTGTTGAATCCTCTCTTGAGCCATCGATTTTGCGATGGCTCCAGCATGCTCCAGCAGCTCCCGGCACTGAGGTGACGCTTTCCCCATTGCCACCGACCCCAGAGTCTCCCACGGCCTCTTGCATCGCCTGGACCGGATGACCTCTGGCCTCATCTTGTGGGCCAGCAGCTACCGAAGTGGCGCCCCGAGGGGCTGCGGGGGGTTGAGTAATTCGACAAGTGACTCCAGAATTGTTAATATAGTCTGAGTGTGAAATGAATATATTTAAATATCGCATCATATATTGAATTGTGATGTACTTTTCTTCTCTTGGTGAGAGTGATTTCCAGAATGTGGGCTGTGACCCAGGCAGGCCGAGTCATTTAGAATATAAGTTTGAATGGTGGGGTCCTGACTTTGGAATCATGGGGAAGCGCTCAAGCCCGCCAGCATGACTCGATGAGGAAGAGGAAATTTGGGCTTTCCATGGATATCCATGTATGAAGCAATATGAAGCTCTTCTAGTTTTTTTCTTGCAAATAGTTGTGGCTCAAAATGGTTTGCCCCCGACAAAACCGCAGTAACCCCACAAAGATAGAACATCATATAATTTAATGTACACTGATCTACCACAAGGTTAGTCTAGGAGTCTACCAACTTCTATCTATTTTGGTGGTTCCTACACCAGTAAGGTTAAGATTTCAAATGGCCAGCCCTTTGTAGCTTCATTGGTGCCACATCGTTGCCAGGTTACTTCGCAGCACGGCTACAGTTCGCCACCCGAAACCAGCTGCGAAAGGAATACACCTGCTTGTGCCAAGGCCCGGAAGCTACGGACATTTCCTCGATGACTTGGGAATCGCGCTAAGCGATGCTAAGCGCTTTCGGTTGTGTCGAGTGTCGATGTGTTTTTGTAAGCAAATGGAGATGCACAATATATACATACATATATATATATAGATATAAATATATATATATTATATATTTTTTTAAAATATATATATATATATCAATATACCTCTGTATACATCTGTATACCATATTAGATGCAGGTATGGAGACGGGGATTTCTTTACACACACACGATCAATGCGTATATATATATAATTTTATATGCAATGATATTTATAATATATTGGCTCCAAGGGAGCAAGACCTTTGTGGAACACAGGGTATCTCTAAAACACCAGGCAGCATTTACATGCATTTACCGTAAACAACGAAATCTAAACTAGCGACACTTGATCAACACCATGCAGGCCAAAAAATCAGGGAAGAGAGCTGGCCGCAAAGTCGTGTTTTTCAGTTGTTCTTGGGAGAGATAAGACACAGCTGCATGTTCAAAATTGGTTTCAAGAAAAATTCCCCGGCAAGTCCTGGAATTTGGTCCTGCGGCCTCCAGCTCTTCCCTCATCAACCCGGATGGGTTTAAGTCATATTTTTTTGTAGACAACCAATTTTTACATTAGATGTCTTTGGTTTTCTTGTAACACGAAGGCCCAGAAATAATCAAAAAGATCCATTAAGGACCAGCATATTTTGGGAGCAGCATATTTTGGGGCCCCAGCCCGACTTGACCCACTTGACCCAACGACCAGGTTTGGTTTGCCGTTTGCCTCACCTCATCACGTCGCCGTTACGCCAAGTAGCTGATGGTCGTCGGCGCATGGAGGTGGCAAAGGATGGTGGGAAGGCGAGCGTCACTTCCCTGGAAGCTCGGCTAAGAAATTGATGGACCTTCCAATTGTTCGCGTGTTTTTTGTCAGGTATCACAGGAATTTCAAAATTATCTTTTTTTTTTTGAGGGTATGACATTCAAAACCCATTCAACTGCGAATATGACTGCTTCATACTGCTTCATACTGGTTCATATTTATATTTGCTCATTGTCAGGATTGGTCATTGAATTCATTGGTTTCAACCTTTTTGGGGGCTGCCTGAGTTTGAAAGCAGCCCCACCAAAAAAAGATATCGCAGATTGATGAAAAACAGTCATGTCTGTAGATCCTCAAACATGAACGTAGAACTCATATTACAATTTTCTCCAGCTGGGGGCCAATCCTAAGGAGCAGGTCTTTCATTTCGAGCTCCCCGAGGGTCGGCTGAGCAGCCTGGTGATGTTGCAGCTTCAGACGGGTCGGCAGCACCAGATCAGAGCCCATCTGTCAGGATGTGGTCATCCACTGCTGGGTGATGTGGACTATGGAGCCTCAGCATGTGAAAGCCGCGTCAAGCCATGTCAAGCCAAAGCTTGGACAAATTGTTTGGGGATTGGTCGGCACATTTTTGTGCAGACACCTCTTCACAAGAATTTAACAATCATTTTAATCAGACGGATGTGGAGGATGTAGGTAGAGCATGGTAGAGCTTCATGTCTCAGTTGCTGACAATCTCCCCGAATCTCGAAAACCCACGCGCCAAAGATATGTTTTTCTTTCTGACCTCCCCCCACATGATAGTCCAACATTGTATGGTTATATGATATATGTATGGTTGAACAATTACTTCAAAAACAACCTGCTGTTCCACAAATTTCCATCTAGTTGGATGATAAGCCATCCCCATCAGATGTTGTCTATCATGATACACCATGAAATGTCCCCAACATGTTGGTTATATCCCCAACCCATTAAATATTAATTATTAAATATCCAATTTTTTTTAAACAAAACTGCATGAAACCACTTGACGTCCCAAGCATGGAAGGTCATACTTTTTCTTGATATATCTCAATTTTCTATCTCCCAGAAAAATGGATCAATGAAACACAATTCTGACACCATCAACCAGCAAAATCCCACCAAAAATCCCATGGAAATCCCATGGAAATCCCAGGTGCTTCCACTTCTTCCGCTCCTCGTCTCTGCCTCCACGCCTCGGCGCTGCGCTACAACGACGCCGTGGCCTCGCTGCCGTGGCCCTCGGACCTGGCGGCCTTTGAGCTGCGGCCGATGGATCCCATGGCACGGGCCGCGGCGGCCGCGCTGACAAAAAACGCGGCAGGAGATGCTGTTGGAATGCCGAAAATCATCAAACAATTCAAAGATCTAGGGTAAAACCATGGTTTTTTTGTGTTTTTTCCAGGATGTAAGCCATGGTACACTTCCAAAAAACCATGAACCAGAAGTTGGGATAGAAGGGTTTGCGACTCAAATTGGAATGCGGGTAAAGCCAATGCCATAAACCTACTACAACTATAACCTACTATTTGGGAAATTTAAGTACCACCCAAAAAAAACGGGAAATCGACCATAAATGTTTGTTTTGGGAGGGAGAACTGTATATAATTAGATGGGTAGATTTTCCATTGCCACGTTTACTGAAGGGTAACCATGGTGACCCCATGAGTTGGGAGATGATGCGTTGATGGGAGGTGCTTCAAGATCTCAATCAACTTGGGAGTACGAGGTGGAAATTTAGAGGTTTTGAAAGATTTGAACGACCTTAATTAGAACAGTAATGAGATCGCAACGCTCACAATGTGGCTTTCGACTTTTGGTTATGTTGGTGATGCAAAGATGTGTTTTTACATGTTGTTCCCATTAGTTCCCCCCAATGTTGTGAAAGGAATTATATATATATATATTGTATATATTACAGATGGTTCGGATTTGAGGTATGATGGGATGGTGAGTTTCAGTAGAGGCACAATGAGGACAAAACATGCGCCAAAAGGAAGGTTGGTTCTTTTGATTGGAGATGTCCACCGGATGACATGCGAAAAGGTGGAGAACAAACTCATTTTCCAAGGTGGAAAGTGGACCAGTGGAGGGATGGTTGTCATTTTCCAAGGTGGAGGAAACAAGAAGTTGGCAGATGTTGGCCCCTGGCTGCGTGACAAGATTGTGGAGAGATTCAAGCAGGCGATTTTGTGGGACCAGGATGGACCAGGTGAGTGGCAACCATGAGCGAATGGTGATCGCCTGTTGCGGATGTTTGTTTTCCTCCCAGGTGATCACATCTCTTTGGGAGATTTCTTGATAGTGGGCACCTATGGTACCTGTTGCCCAGTGAGAGAACCACACAGTTAAACTATGTTAAACTGGTGCAAGACTGCTCGTTCTTCAGGTGAAATTGCCTTTGACTGCGGCTCGGATTAGCGCATCTAGCGAGCGTTGAACGCGTTGAACTGATGGGCGGCGGATCATGATCCTAGAGGTGAAACACAATTACTCACACCATTAAATTAGGTACCTGCGATGGTTCCCAGAAAGATCATTATAATGAAATATTATATATATATATATTATATATATGTATATTATAATGATTCAATATGATTCACTGTCACATCGTCCTTTTTCTCCTACTCCACCTTGTGCTCCTCATCACTCATCACTCAGCATGTGCAAATGTGCACCAGCACTGATCACGATAATCATCATGATGATATATCATGATCATCATGATCATCATAATATATCATGATATATCATACATCATGATCATCTAATAATTAGTCATCATCCGAGTGCCGATGACTGAGGTGAAATACATTGACCCCACCTACATGATCCGAGCCATCAAACCCAATGCCAATGACAGTGCCTCGCATGGACCATGGGGGCTGCTGTGGGTCAGTGAAGTTGCCATGTCAGGTGATAGGTGGGTATGGATCGAATCTGAGTGGCTTCGGAATTTTTGAGCAACACAAATGGA